TGACCTTGCCTTTGTGCAACTAATGCATCGATCTAGTTTGACGGAAGTGGCTGCAATTCTTAGCAAGTTCTTAAAGTGCACATCAGAGATTTTTCATCTTATTTTATTCCTCCTGTGCTTCATCCTTGAAAACAGTTGTTCACAAATGTACGTACTGCCAAAAAGCAACGACAAGAATAAGGTGTGATTGTGAAGCAAAGGATAATTTTCTCTACTAAGATACAGCTTTCAGAAGTCTGGTAGACATGATCAGATTTTTCCTTGAGTTGAATATCTGATTGCAACTCTATACATTCCATTTGAAGATTTGCAGACTATTTATTTATGTCAAGTGAAAACGGAGTTGCAGATACACCAAAAAAAGATATCTGCAGAAGTCTTGAAACCTATTCTAAAATTCTTTTATTACAACAGAAAGCAACACTGCATATTTTTCACTGTTCACTGGACTGTGCTTAGCCAATTTATCACAATGCCTACAGTTATTTGCCATCATTTGAGCTTGCTGTAATTTAGGTTTCATTTTAAATGCTGTAATGTTTTCAAACATAGCAATGATCTGTTGATTTACACCTTGAAGACACACATTTTACTCATTTAAATGAGCAGTCAAATCCACCACAAACTGTATCACAAGTTACTTAAACTTTTTGTGAGCTTTTTGAGATGCCGAAAATGGAAATTTGTCAGAACCACACAAGAATTTTGTATATTTCTTCTGCAGTGAGCGTTTTAACTCATTATTTTACCAAATAACAAGACCAAATCTTACATGTCTGTTTAATACGAAAAAATGTGTGTCATCACAGGCACACATGTAAGTTGAAGGTAAGCTGAAATACTGCTATTGGTAATCACTGCCTTTTCCTTGCCAAGTAGTAGCACAAGCACATGTAATACATGTAGATATCAATTCAACGTTGCATGTGGTGGGCATGAGAGGCACTGCACTGTGCTGCCCTCCCTTCCACAGCGTTGTCACCTATGCAATCTGCACTCAAACTATGTGCAATCGACTCATGAACAATATTGCTTTTAAAAAAAATAATAAAAAAAAGCTTGATAATTTTACATGCCTACAATCTTTTGGGGGCACACTATTAGCTGTTCAGGGCTGCATGTGGCCTATGGGCCATAGGTTGGACACACCCAGCCACCAATAAAAGTATTAGAGAATATTGTACCAAGATGGACCTCTGAGGGATATCATTCATCACTGACCTCCATCAGGACACAGAGCCGTTGAACACAACCCTCCAGCCATGACTATCCAACCAATTTCTTATCCACTCAATAGCCTACTGTTCAAATCCACATCTCTCCCCCTTCAGAGATAAGGATGCGGTGCAGGACCATGTCAAAGGCCTTTGAGAAGGCCAGATTGATTACATCAGCACTGTTCCTTTGCCCACTGATGTTGTCACTTCTTCACAGAAGGCCATATCAGATTGTTCAGGCACAATCTGCTCTCGCTGAAGCCATGCTGGCTATCTTGGATCACCTCCTCATCTTGCAAGTGCCTTAACATATCCACTGATATCTAAATTCGTGTAAGATGGCACAGTTCTTGTTAAAATAAGCTTATCAGCAAAAAGAGATCAGGAACAATACGGAAGGATATCTGTTAACAATGAAATTCTACTCCAGAGTAAATACACTGCCACAGAAAACAGTTTTTAGGAGACGAAAAATTTATTTAAAAACTGCCAACATTTAACAAAAACAATTTTACACTATTTTCCATTTTCTACAGAAATACAATAACTTACAGCTGTGCTTAGTATACTTATTACTAATACATATAAAAACAAGTCTGCTGATAAATAAGTGAGAAAAAAAATTACCAACCACCACCACTAAAATTGTACCTGTAAATTCTGGAAGACATCTGCATAGGATGGTTAGGATCCTAGGGATATTCTTTTTTTTTAATATATTTTGTACTACTAGAATATGTAAAAATATAATCAACATGCAATACAAAATATTTGAGATAAACAAGGTAAAACTCAGTGTGTACAAACGGAAAGCACTATTAGGATGCCCTCCTATGTTTTTCAGAGAACTGAACATTTTATATAGCAAATTTTGATCTTCCCTTTACAGCCAAGCTAAGTTTACAACGTAGAAATCACCATCTGGCTAGATTCCACTACAGAAGGATTAAAGAGTGGAGGAAACAGTAACAACAAATAATTCTAGAACATCTCAAATCAACATTAAGTAGATGCATTTTAAAAAGTAAATTAGGTGTTAATGTTACCTAGTTATAAACATTTGTGAGATGACAGAGTGACAAAAGTGCAGTTTATTGTTGCACCATGAATGTATACAGCATACTCTGAGAACAGTAGAACTTAAGCCATTCAATATTTATTAAGACTTTCCTCCTTCAATGTTGCATCAGTTAACACGGCACCTTAAAGCCTACGATTCCTCCCCAAGTATCTTGCATGAAACTCAGCCACTGACCTACACACAAGTCTTCATATGTAACACCTCCCAAACTCTTTGTTTTTCCAAACAAAACAAAAACAAAAAGCTTTCTTAGGTCTTGATACCTGCATAGTACCCACCATGTTTGTCTCCAGCTGCTTATTTAAACCTGTAATACTTCAGAACCTTAACAGCTTCTCTCCAATTATAATGCTAATGAATATACATTACTCTATCAGCTTTTTTGGTCAAGAAGTTGTAAATATGACCATGCCTGAAACACAGAAGTCACTTACAATCCATCACAGTAAATACTTCAGAGCTACCATATGGTTACTGATATCCTTCCTTCAGCAAGGTCTGATCCTTTGTCAGAAAAGCCAGTAGGAATTTTATCCCTCATTTCAACAGAACTTAAATCAATCACTCCTCTCTGTTAACTGGTGACAAGATGCATGGGAACAGCACAAGGCTTTGCCACAGGAGGTTCAAACTGGACATCAGGAAATATTTCTTTACCGTGAGCACGGTGGAATGCTGGAACAGGCTTCCTAGCATTCAAGAGGCATTTGGACCGCGCTCTCAACACATTCTAACTTCTGGTTACTCCTAACATGGTCAGGCAGTTGGACTACATGGTCTCTGAAGATCCTTTGAACTACTTTAATTTGTTTTAAAATCAAGCACTCAAACCAGTAACAAACCAAAATCCAAATCCTACAAACTGCTTCTGTGAAAGGAGTCCAAAATTTATTACTTGCTCATACTACGCCTATCTAATTAACTCCCAAAGTTACGTAAATTAAAACCTAAAAGCATTCAAAATGATGAATATCTTCAACCACAACAACAAAAAAGTAATTTATTTTAATGAAAAGAATAACAAGAAAATACTAAAAATAGCATACCAAAGTAATGTGATGTTTAGATTCAAATATTGATTGCTGGCCTGTGTCCTACAGGTCTTCCTAGTCTTCTCTGAGGCTGAAGTACTTCATCAAAACGGAGCCCATCTCTACTCCTTTCTGGAAGACTCATGAAAGTTATCTGGCAAGTAGGACACCAACTGAACACTACTCAGTCCTCCCAACTTGCAGGACACGACCAGCTCTTTCACTGACTCAAAAATTACCTACAAGCAGTTGGAAGAAACACCACCACAAATCATTTGGTCCATATGTGCACATATTTGCCCAGCAATTGTGGAAGGAAGGCAAAGTGCCACAGAAGGGAAGCTCCTTTCAGTAAATTCAGACATTGGCTGTCACCTTTCTAGATTCAGAGATTTAAGAGAGGTACTCCACAGAAGAGATATGTTCACAGATCATGAGTGTGACATAAAAACAGCTGTATGTGGAACACTGTTCATTCCCGCCCAGACATAACATGAACACAGTTCCTCCACTTACCCACCTGTACATATACATGTTCACCATGGGAAAATAAATATAGATAATTAATCTTTACCAATGACAAAAAAAAAAAAAAAAAGACCTATCACAAAATAGGACCAGTGAAAAATGAACTTAATGCTTTAAAGTCACTCTCCTGTAGAACACTGGTCATTTATCACATTATTTTCCAGTGTTTTACTTTCTGCTACAAAACTTCGTATTTATCTAACTTACCAACATTGGAGAGCTCCATAAATTTTACAGTGGTCACAACTGTGTATCTGAGAATATTTCATAGAAAAAAATTTTGCAAAATATTGTTTAAAAACTGTTTTTTTCCTAATATGAAAGCCATGAGAATTAAATATTTTTTCACATATCTTCATAAAATAAACATTTTTGCCCTATATAGAATAGTATTTGATGTATATAAGAGTGCTACAAAATTAGTGTTTAATAGCATACTTAAATACTATAGTGCTATTACTATCATTAATCTTAATGCTACTTAAAACTATTTAAGACATCCATTATTTTTTGTTACATGAAGTTAAGAAGACATTTCCGATCACATTTTACAAGATGACTACCCAGTTTTAAACACAGACATTTCAAAAAAGAGAAACTAGAACAAGAGGAAATGAACACGTTAGATATAAACATATTTTGTCTCATAAAACCGAATTTTGGTACCTTGTTTAATTTATGTGACTCTTCTATATGTAATAGCATAATCAATACCTTGTTGTTCTTTGTTTTAAATTAAAAAATACATTAATTCTTCACAGCCATTCAGGGTATCTTACTGAATTACTGATGTACCAATTTCAAAAGCAACACATATGGATACCTTATCCAAGAAAATCTCTTTAAGAGTTTTACCATCTGTGTGTTCTAATGAGAAAATGTGCTGTGAATATAGGCACCCTCTTGTTTGTTGTGGGCTCATCCTTACCTCCACCTACAGTAGGATTAGCAGCAGGTTTGAGATGGTGCAGATAAAGATGCTTATTAAACTTCAGGTAGGAGTTACACTTTTCAGAACAGTTACATCATGCAAAAGCATATGCTGTCAGTAACTAACAGCTTTGTTAATTCTAGTATGGACTCCTAAGAAAAGTTAATAAATAAATAAATAAAGATCAGAGCCACACATCGTGTGCCAGCACAGACAGGAGTAAAAAGCATCCCCGTTATTTCAACTATGCTCTTGTGAGATACTGAGTAGCTTACTGAATCGTACTAGGAAGCATAGAGAAACCCAGCAACTGCCTGCAAGACTGCAACAGTAATTTAAGATACAGAATAAAAAATAATGCAGATGAGATGCTAAGGTACAGTATTAGCGTGTGGTAGACATAAAACACTATGCTAGACAAAAAATGTTAAGTCAGTTATTACATGTTTAGCAATTATGTTTTCTTTTTAAATCAATAATTATAAACTCTAAAATTGTACCCTAATTCACTATGATTGACTATGCCCTGAGAAGGAACGTTACGCACTAAATAAACGCCACTAAAAGGGTTAGGTTTATACTTCAGAAACATCAATTGTCTACAGGGAATTTCTTGGAAGCACACATTTCCCCCATTTTGTAGTAACACACTGCTTTTTCAGAGGAAAAGATCAACAAAAGTTTATGGCAGTTTTCCCAACAACAACAGCTTGAAGCTTTTTTTTTTTTTAAACTTTTTTTTTTTTTTTTTCCTTGTCTTCTGTCCTGCTTTAAACTCTTCCAGGAAACTAGATGGCTCTGTAGGTAAAGCTCTTGCTTTCCACCACTGAAAGATCTAGGCCCAGCATGAGGCTTCAAAAAAAGCTGAGCATGACAAACTCCCCATACGGGCAATAACAGGAAGAACCTTTCGGGAGGTAGGAGTTATCTAAACATGAAATGAGGCCACCTCACTACTCCTTTGCTACATTCTTCTTTTGCTGGTTGGAAGAACAGACAAAAAGTTTGGGAGGAAGCACACTCTGAACACATGGGAAAAACGAAGAAAAATCATCATAGCCAGGGACACTGACTTTCCTGTGAAGCTAACTTGACCATTAAGTGCATTTAAGAACAGGTGATTTATCTTCTTTCCTTGATACAACATTAAAAAAAAAAGTTCTAACAGTGAAGAACTTTTATCCCCAGAACAAGACAAACATATAAAAAAAATCACATCTACATTCCACTTCACTGCTTGTTTTCCAAAACTGCCCAACAATTGTTTTTTTTTTTTAAATCCCCACACTACAGTGCAAAGACTTGCTTCCCATTGGATACAAACCCCCAACCCCAAAGAACATTATTCCCTCACAGAAGGCAAGACAGCAAAAAAACCCTCAGAATCTTGTACAAAAATTCAATCATCATGTCTCTGAAGACTCACTGCTTACATTATTCTGTAGTAGTCACATTTTATGCATTGTAGTATTTGCCATTCTGAAGAATGCTTGCGGAGTCTGCCTAGGCAGACAAGCTCTCTAATACCCTTCATTTCTGCTCATCAACAGTACTACACAGTACTGTTTAGAAATTATATGCTTAGTAAAAAATTCACTCCTGCCCACAGATTCTAGCTACATATTCTAATAAAGTAGGACTAGCACAAACTGGAAGTGCTGAAATTCTGATCGTAAAACAGATTCTAAGCTTCCTTACTATGTTACTTTGCTTATTTATCTTAAAACAAGCTAATTAAATAGCATAAATTAGCAATTTACTTTTCTCCATATTTAAATGTCACAAGAATTTGACTGTATAAAGAATGTGTAATAAGTCAACAAAACACTAATAATCAGGTAGGAGGAGATTAACAAATACTAATCTGAGCAGCTATAGTGATGTGTTCTAACATTAACTTCATATAGCTTTACTGAAGTTATGTCTAATGCTGCATGTGTTGTTCCAGTGATTGCAGTGCACAAGATAATAAAAGCCAGTAAAATAATAGCTAATGTAGTAGCAGCAGAGAATTCAACCCATTATTACATCCATTCTAATTTCCGTAGTTTCAAATTACATTTGTTCCTCAAAACCTTTTCTTCTAGCAGAAAAAAATTTCTACAAGAGTTAATCCAGTGAGCAAAAAGAATTTGCATCAATGTAAAGCACATATTACAGTGGGAAAAAAAAATGAGTAAAGATGCTGAACTTTGTAAGAAGATGCTTAAAGACTGTACACAATTGATTTTCTAACTGAAGGAACTTACAGAGAATCAACACTTTATATTCTGCAGCTTCTGTTGGACATTTTCTCCATGAGAATGTTTGCTGACTACATGAAAATATCCTAACCTCTGAAACAGAAAGTGCATTAAACACTTTACATAATCTGTACTCAGCAACATCTATATATGTTAACTACCAATGTCCTGAACCACACTTCTTTCTTTTAAGTCGTGTCCAAGACAGACTCTGAACTAATACTGAATCAGTATGTTCCAAAGATCACAGTTTTAGAACATCCTACAATTCTGAGTTTAATACAATCTGCTGGAAGTATCTTTTCAGTCACCTCACGTAAGAGATTTCAGGACACTGTCAGCCTGAAATAATTTAGTTACCTGTTTTCTTCTTCAATATAACTCAAAATAAAAATGAAATATCAGATTACAGTTTGCATGTCTTTCAAAATGGAAAATATGACTTGTTTCAATTAAAATCATTTTTATTGTTTAATTCTTTGTGCGGGAAAGTCTGGTCTGAAAACACCTCTAAAAGCAGCAATTCATTCAATTAAAAAATTTGGGAGCATTTCCATCAGGTATAGGTTTTCTAACTCTGGCCTCATACTACAGCCACTGATGTTTTTTATGCAAGTAATGAAAATACCGGCAACATCTATGATCACCATTCTCAGAACATTTTCCAAGTAGGGATGCGCAATGCAACTACTGCAAACATTCAAACCTTGCTGCTGCTGACAAAAACTGGAACTGAACACATGCATTTGAGGGCACCTGTTTGATACTAAGTTTGATCTAAGTTTATGTCACAAAGGTTGTCAAATTCAATAGCACAGTATCTCCATGACATAGCTCTAAGAAAGCATAAATCTTGCAAGTTCCTTTAAAAATATCAATTAGTCAAGAGCAAGAAGAAAGCATTTCTTCCACAGTTCAAGAAATATTTTGTATCCTGCTCCCACATCCCAGTCTTCTGCTGCTTGCTTTTATTATTCTTACCAAGACGTAATTTTTGCAAAGGTAAACAAAGAAAATACAATTAAGTTACTCGCTAACTTCTCAGTGACCATGAATATGGTCCTTAACAGACTGCCACCAGATGTCATGCTTTCCAAGCTCATACTAATCATTAATGGGGTGTCTGTAATCAAGCTGACTGAGGCTACTGCACATGCCTTAACATACCTTTAATGCACAAAACAGTGTCCTCTGGGATGGGTGTAAATTTTTGCTCCAGTTAAGTTCTTCAGTTCAGACTCCAGTTTGCACTTGAACCTACTCATTTTTCAGTGTTCACACAGAAAACACCTCGTGACATAATAATCCTCTTAAGCCATACCCACACCTGTTTCACACATCAGTTACGTTCTTCTGCAATCAAAACCAGCAACCGAGATGCAACCCAAGCAGCTAGATGATAAATACCTAGGTACAGGGGCAGGTGTAATTGCTCGTGGAGAACAAAGCTTTGCCAGGAAGATCCTTCAGCCTAAATCAGTCTTATCTAGGTATTATAAACACAAGAGCATATATTGAGAAACTTCTGTTTGCTACTCCACGGCTGAAATGAATTATGAACTTCTCTAAGACTAGAGATGATCAATTCTCATTTTGAAATGCAAGAGTAATCTTTATCCACCAAATTATTTAGCACTGTTGGAATTCCACATGTCTCAAGTGCTTTTCTTCTTTTCAAGTGATAATTTTTTGAGCAGGCTACGTGTCTTTTAATTCCACTTTCTTGTTCTTTCTCTCTGCCCAACAGAAACAGCAGCTTGAAACTCATTGTGGTGAGGAGGCACTTTGGGCAGGAGAAATAAATAGCAATTTTGGCAAAGACTCTAGCTTGAAAATTTCATCCCCTTGGTTAATATTCTCTGTTTGGAATAGGGGTAATGCTGCCAGTGTACAAACCTCTAAAGCTGTACAACACTTTCTCCCTTAGAAGTCCCTTATAAAGACAACTCCTAAGGAAATGACAAAAAAAAACCATTCACGTTTACTTTCACTGGAATAGAAATGTGTATTGAATCCCCTTAAAATTTATAGTTACATAAAGAGAGGTTGTATGGTTGGAGAAGTGCAGTGAAGAAAGAAGTCACAGAAGCCCTGCAGAGGAACAGAAGCAAAGAGATAGTCCCGTCCTGCTGTACTTTTTTGAACTGTATAGTCTCAATAACCAGGCAGCAGAATTTTTTCACTGACCATCTATAGGGCCTGTACCGTGTTGGTGAAGCGTATGTTATCAGTGTGTGACACAGCAGGCTGAGATTCTGTAGTGTACATAATACATTCAGAAAAGCATATCAAGTGTCATTAATTCTGAATTGTTGAGGTAAAATAAATAAATAAATACACATTTAGAAGTTAAAGAAGTCTGCTCTATGAAAAATATTTCCAAATATAGCTCTGACTGTGTTTGCATGTTTGTGACAGAAAATACTTCATTTTTCTTTTCAGAATTTCAGCTTCAGAGACTTTCTTATCAAACTCATTTAACAACTTATAAGGAAACAAAAACCTAGTCACAATAATGGAAGGCATGGCTCCAATGCTGTTACTTCTTTAAGGAAGACACTCTGCAGCCTGGCATTCTACCAAAGGTAGCTAGTACAAAAGTAATAGTAGTCACTGAATATAGTCTGAATCCTTTAAAGTATGAGAAAGATCTAGTACAGCAAAGAGAAACTACCTGGAACCAGGCTAAGCTGGCACTGACAGATCCTCTTATTCTTTTTCCAGACACTGTTTCAAAAGCAGACAACTTTTTTCTTTCCCCTTCTTTTCCTTAAAAGCCACACCATTCAGAGTCCATCTTAATGCAGAAATTAAAAATAAAGATAACAGCATGGTAGAAAGCTGACATAGATAGAAAACCAGTGACTTCTTAAAAAAAATGGAAGAACAACAAATGGCATTTGCTAACAAAAGATATGCCTGTTCTTTAATAAATAATGTGATAGACTTGTACTCTTTAAGTTTTAGGACTGACCAGTAAAAGAGTGAGAAACACACAGTTAGTGAACACTTGCAACCAAGACATGCAGCTGTATCTGAAAAAAAGAATATTGCACTAAAAGAACTCTCAGGGCTTTAAATTCTTCCTTCACTGACCTAAAAAAGTAACTAACCATTTCCTGTAAGCAGTAGCAAACCTGGCTTGGTCCACGTCTCTACAAGTTGATAAAACTTTATCTATAAACCTGTATTCCATTTCTGGGCCAAAAGAGTCTTGCATAGGAGCACGCTTTAGGCGTTTTGTTTCTTGGGTATAACCTTGTTTGCTGCTGGATTCACTCAAACCATCAACATCCATAGCTTGTGCCATGTGGCTTGTCGTGGGATTGGGGTGTGAATTATGCAAAGTTTCATCACTGCTGTCCACAGATGAGGCCACCACACTCAGAAGAGGAAGTTTGTTGATAAAGTGGTGCTGAAGGTAGAACACACGCCTCCTTCAGAGGAAAGGGAAGAAAAAAAACAACGAAACACATGCTGATAATAATCTGGAGTTGCTGCTGAAGAGCAGAATTTGCCATCACTCCGTATTACTCAATACACAGCCAAATAGTTTACTGAATGCAGATAGAGCAAATGTGATAACCTTGTGTAGGACTGGAAATTAACCATTATATTGATTATACCAATGTGTTAATCTCAGTAATAAAATTTGCATTACCATCCAGCAAATTATTCCTTATACACTGTTAAATAAAATGTAAACTTCACCTCTTTCACTCGCTAACAAGTATCAATGCACAAAATCTGCTGTCACAGTTCCCACACTACAAAACAAGCTTCTCTGCTCAGCCTAGACAAAACTTTTTGAAGAAGCCAGCAGGAATTTAATTACAGAAAGCAACTTTTGCATGTATATGCTTGCAGGCTTATAAAATCTGCACCCCCGCAATCCCCACAAAAAACTTCTGCAATTACAAAATTAGGTAGGAATACAATCCTAAAACCAACTGGCCTTGGATTTTAAGGAAAAGGAGAGATTTAGCTATTGGAAAAGGTGCTGCATCTTATGCAGCACATATTTCTTTGGTTCTGACTTCTGTAACAGCACATATCCACCATGTTCAACTTTGCCACTGTGCTTTCTAAGTGAGCCAAGCCTGCTAACCAACAGAGTGGATCACAGCCAAAATCATATGTCTATCTATATTCATATGTTTTGGTAGCAAAAGAAAAAACAAGTCTGTGTCACTTTGGCAAGCTTGCTGTTACCTCATCAGGTATATATACACAGCTGGCAAAGCAGAAGTTTTCTACAGCTGATTCTTCTTCATGTTTCTTGCTACATCTTTTAAACATCTTAAGTGTGAGGAGGCACTTGCACAGACTATAGGAACAAATGGAGCTGATGCTGACAAGATACTTAACCAAATTAAATTTTCCATTCAAAAGCTCTGATTATTCTCTTGAATGTTTTTCAAAGGCTTAAAACATAGTAGCTTAGAAATTGTTAACTGAGTGGTACCTTTTTAAATCGGAAAAATAACTAATTTGGAAATTCCAGGCAAAGAATAATCCAATAACCAGAAGGATGCTCTTTTGCCAAACTCCTCTTACCTATGACACCACAAGGTTTCATGCCCCGGATAAGTGTCAATCAGATCAGTGCAGAAATCCAACTCCTCCTCTAAGTAGTGGGAGATATCCACACTCTGTTCCTCCACACAAACAGCTTCTGCTCCTTCATATTTCTCCTCCGTTTGAAGACTAGAATTTTGCTCGTTTCCCATTTGATTTTGTACCAGTGTATTATCATCGTTCACAGTTCTGCCTATCAAGGACTTGAGTAAGAACTGGCGATAATGAAATCCACTGTGGTCTGAGACGTGCATAGAAACCCAGTATTTAGTGGAAGAAAGTTCATCAAGAAGAACCTGAAACAAAAAGCAGCAACAGCTATCAACCAGAGTAAAGAAGAAATCTATCACCACTGTTTTTTTTCTTGAGGTCACCTCTCTTCTAGGGTTCTCAGTGAAACAGGCTGCCCAAGAGGGTTGTGGATGCCCCATCCCTGGGAGGCATTCAAGGCCAGGCTGGATGTGGCTCTGGGCAGCCTGGTCTAGTGATTGGTGATCTTGCACATAGCAGGGGGGTTGAAACTAGATGATCATTGTGGTCTTTTTCAACCCATGCCATTCTATGATTCTATGAGGTGATGGTTTTCAAAGCTCACAGTCAGCACTTAAGAACAGAGTAAAATGAAAGAAACACTGAACTTTTCCCACTGTGTAATGGCAGGTATCTTGGCATCCATGCACTAAAGAAACTATATGTATTATATAATTTCAAAAAAACACCCTAACAAAAACATCTGGAAACAAGCAATGATCAAAACCTCCAAATGGCTAGGTATAAAGACCGCAGCAGTGAGAGGTAGAAAGCACACCAAACTACATGGATGTTACTAATTTGAAGTACTTTAATTTTTGTCTAGTGAATGATTAATGTAATTAAACTTAACACATTAATGTATGAAGAGACTGAAAAAGGAAAAAAGATTTACAGTAATTCATACTTTCATGTTCCATAACACATTCAAAGTCCTACAGACTGTGGAATACAAGAGAATTTGTCTGTAATTAAGATGCTTCATTTAAAATAGGTATTTGGTGAAGTCTCAGAAAGGCTATCAAAGAACTGGGATAAATGCTTCCACTATTGACTGCAGCTGTATTTATAACATAGCTGGCACCTAAGAATTTTATCTTAATTGACCAGCAGCATCTTAAATACTACTTTTCTGAACGAGTGGTCAGGCACTGGAATGGGCTGCCCAGAGAGGTGGTGGAGTCACTGACCCTGGAGGTGTTTAAGGAACTTTTGGATTTTGTTTTGAGGGATATGGTTTAGTGAGAACTACTGGTGATAGGTGGATGATTGGACTGGATGATCTTGAAGATCTTTTTCAACCTTGATGATTCTGTGATTCTGTGATCTTATACATCAGCAAACTGAAACGTACTACTGAGTAATTTCCTGTTACTTGATGAGGTCTATTACTCCATGAAGTTGGTCACTTAATAAATAGGAATGTAGCAAAAGCAGAGGTTTCATACCATTGCTGTCTCTGTCTTCAACACCAACGATAGGCCTTAGGAACCAGGAATCCCAAGCTGGAGGACTATGACTGCTGTAATGGATAAATTCCTAGCCCAACCCAAACTTGCATATAATTTGCTGGTTGAGCTGGATGCAGCCAAACACTAGTAGTTCCCCAGGGTTCCACTTTCTTCAATGTTTTTATAAATGGTCTTGCCACAGGACTTGAATGCACGCTAAGTGTACAGGTGATACAGGGGAGCAGTTCTATGATTCTAGTTGACTATGATTCTACATTGACTTTCTCCAGGGTAGAAAGGCCTTGCAGAGAGATCCTGAAGAACTGGAGGGCTAGGTAATCTGCATCTGCATGAAATTCAAGAAGAATAAGTGCTGAATTCTTTATCTGCGACAGAGCTATCCTGGTATATCTACAGACTGAGGTCCCTAGATGTGCTCAGCCCAGAACATGGCAGGCTGACAGGAGGCCTCATGGTGGCCTACAGCTCCTCACACGGAGCAGAGAGGCAGCACTGAGCTCTGCTCTTAGACAGTTATATGATAGGAGAGAACAGCATGGAGCTGTCAGGGGAGAGTGGGGCTGGGGTGTCAGGAAAAGGTTCTTCACCTTAAGGTGGAGGGCCAGTGAAATGGGTTGCTCAGGGCAGTGGTCACAGCACCAAGCTGCTGGAGTTCAAGGAGTGTTTGGCCAACACCCTTGGTCCTAGTGTTTGACCTTTTGGGTGGTCCTTTGTGGAGCTGGACTTGATGATTCCTGTAGGTCCCTTCCAACTTGGAATGATCTATGATGCCACACGTGGAACTCTTAAGGGTACTAAAACACCTCATTCCCAGTTCTGCAATTCCTCCATTCTCAGGTGAACTTAATTTACTGTTTTAAATTCCCAAGCATTAAAATTTTAAGATCCGATTAAAATCAACATAAGACCTAAGAGTGACATCAGAAAAATCAGCAGGAACTGGTACTACACCATTATAACCAACTTAGATCTCTGGATAATCTGATTCATTTAAGTGACAGGCTTGTAAGCTACAAAGTTACAGGGGAGCATTATAATTGGATATTTTTACTTGCTGAATAAAACAAAGTAAACAGAACGATTCACAGCATCATTCCTTATCTGATCCAGAAAACCTGGTATAGAAAAGCACATTTTTCTTGAAAAAAATTCACTTTCTAACTCTGACTTCAATGTTACTTACTTACAAATTTTATCCTGAATTTCGTTATATCTTTTATGTTCCACATTTTCCTGATTTTCCTGCATCTAAAACAACTAATGTAAAGCCAATTGAAGAGATGTATCAGTGATATCATGAAAAAAAAATCTAAAGTCAATATGGATATTTTAAAATTCTAGAATCAATATGGAAGCTAGTTGGACAAAATCAGAGGAACTATCACTTCCTCATTAACCAAGCTAAAAAGAAGACCAACAGGAAATCTGGGGGCAGCTACCAAGGCAGGCAGAGTTGGGAACAATCTAACAAATTTCAGACATTTTTTCACAGATTTTTTTGTGACATAACACAACAAGCTCTGACAAATACCAATGAATTAAACCACCAGCTAAATTCCAGCTTTGAGAGGAGTTATTGCTATCAAGATGCAACTATATATTTACTTTAATTATTAAAGAACAGCAAATGCAAAAAACAATCATGGTGTTATCACAAACCTCAAACTACTGTCAACTAGAGCACGAAACTACTGAATCTTAACTAAAAGTGCTAGAATTTTTTGCTCTTTTCTCCCTCACACTTTTAATGAACTTCTCAAGGATTTATGTAAATATCCCTATTTCTTATTAATAGATCTCTAATTTATATCCTCCAAGCTATCCTAATCTCGTAACACTAAGTTTTCCACATCTACGTTTTCATATCTTAATTAGCAGATGAGTCCGAATGCTGGGTTGTCTCACTCAACAAGTCAGGAGCATACTTGCCATTTACTACCAATATGATCCAGATTTTTCTTTTTTAAGTTTTTCAGGTAAAAATTAACAGGAAACATCCAGTTGCTAGCAGTAGTTGACCCATGAAACTTAACAATAAGAGCTCTTCAGACTGAGCCTCTTCTAAATTTCTCCCCTAGTACTGCTGAAGATTTACCACAAAATACTGTCACTGATTATAAAAATGCTAGCAATGTGTCACTTTATCAACTTATGAATGAATAATGAATTCACCTATCAGCTTAGAAACCACACTATTAAAGTGTCTATATAATGTTAGATCATCTCATAGTAAATTAATTCAATTTTCATGGGTCTTGTTTTAGATACTACTATGTGATATGAAATATTCCATTTGTATGGGAACTGCTGAGTCACGGCCTGAACCTCTGATTAACCACCTGAGGTGAGCCATGAGTCAGCCAGAGGAGCACAGGTGAAGGCAATTCACCTGTGCTGCCGGAAGGGGTGGAGCCAGGCTCCACCCCTCCTGGACCTATTTAAGAGCTGGCTACCAGAGGGGAAGGATCTCTTCTGGAGATCCCCTCTTTTGGTATCTTCTGGTGAGCTCAACCCAAGGGTAAGCTCTTCCACTTATTCTCTTTTGTGATCGTTGTCTGCTTTGCTTTACTCTCTTGATTATATTGCAATTATAACATCCTGGTTATACATTATAACATCTTGGTTATACACCATTGCATCTAAGTTTTACATATATTGAACATTTTATAGGTAATATTCACATAGTAACGTACACTATACAAGACTGCTGGAGCTAGAATTGCCTCGGCAGCAATGGTCAATGATCAAAGGTGCTGTTGGAGTTGAAGAAACTCGTTATCAGCACTACTATGCTTTCTCTGTAATTCTGCTGTCTTTACTTAATATTTCAATATCCTTATAGACTTAATATACTTAATATATTATATACTTAATATACTTTATGTATCCTTATATATATACTTAATATTTCAATATCCTTTTGATAGAAGAGTAAGGCAGGAAAACAAGACATCACATTACAGTATCAAAACAATGTAATACCTGTCATGTGTTATCCTTTCCTTTTATTAGGAAATTTGAAATTAGTGTTATGACTAATATTTTTTTCTTCCTTTTTTGTTTTAGTTCACATAGTTTTATATCTATTCTCCATCACTGAGTACCAATAGATGAACAAAACTTTACTGTACACAGACAAGAAAGATCTTTTTCTTTCCTGCAGAACAAAACCTGCCTACACTTAGCAAAAACACAAACCAATATATACTGCAATGTTTTGCCATTTTTAGAAAGCACACGTTAGCTGCCTGGACTCACCTAATACAACAGATCAACAGTAATCCATCCACGTCAGGGCATCTGCTTGGCAAATCACTCTCTTTTTTTTAATACTTTCTTCTTTTTTTTTTCTTCTTTTTTTTTTTTTTAAACAAGGAAAATTGAAGACTTTATTAATTATTGTATTTTACCTTGGTAGTCAGCTTTCCCACATGCTGTAAAACCCAGATGCGATGGGACCAGGCATTGTAGTTGCTTGGGTATCTCCCAGCAGCTTCAGAGCAGATGCCCATTTCCTCCTGCACTAATTGGTGAATTCTCTCTGCAGGTGCTACTCCCAGGTTTCCTTTGTTCACAAGAGCAGGCAAGGAGTCTTCCTGAATTAGCTGCTGCAGCACCCATCGTCTGGTTAGGGTTAAACAATGTAGAGCATTAGTGATGAGAAACCAATTTTTAGAGAAAAACATTGTTTTTTAATTTACTTTTTTTTTTTTAAATCAAGCTTTTCTTAGATTTTCATTATCTGAACTATGCTGCAACTAGATGATGAATAAAAAAAAAAAAAAGCTAGGAAACATAAGCATCTGGATTGTTCCCATACTGTAAACGATGACCTTATGATCATATCAAAATAATTTAACTTTAGCTATATTTCTGTATTTGTGCACCATAGTCATGTCTACTTACAGCATGCTAAAGGAAAAAAAAAGAAAAAAAGTTATGAAAACAATGCAAAGTCTGCATGTGATTTCTCATGAGCTCTTCTTTTAGAGGTTTGTACAATACTAAAATAATGTTTTAAAAAATAGGCAGAAAAAATGACTCAAGAAAGATATGAACTGTACTTTATGTACATTTTCACATTTCTCAGTAGTGAATACTGCAAGCAAAATTAGTTTTTGTACATCATCACCAGAGAGAAAATGCACAGCATTGAAGGCTTCAGATGCTATGAGCAAAACTGAAAAAAAAAAAGTACTTTACTACTGAATTATACATAATTGACTTGAAGTCACTGAGAAGAACAGCTTTCTATGTGGCTTTTCAATTCTATTTTGGACTGACTTAGTATTTTTAGATGAGAACTGCATTATGGGAGGTATGTACCGCCCAAACATACATCTGCAGGCTCTACTGAAAACTGCCAATAATGGCAGGTATCCACGAAGCAGCATGTGTACAGAGAATGGCAATGGGACTGCGTGGAACAGCCTGGAAAGCTGGACATCCTTCAGTGTGAGACACTGGAGTTTTTATGTCTTGTACCAACTCACACATCAGCTATAAGAACAATTAATCGCTACCTCATGAAAGTGCAAGTTCAAAAAATAAATAAAATTGAGAGTTCTACTTTGCAATTCATCGTTCATGAAATAGCGGAAGAATATAAAGAATTATTACCATTTTGCTTTTTCTTCCAGATATTTTAAACAAGATTTAAACTGTCAGAAGACAATACTAATAACTGTAAGCCAAATATTATCATCCAGTATTTCTAACTTCAATCAGAAAGAAATAGAGAATTCTAGATGTATTTAGGCAGGAAAACTAACCACGTAAAGTCATCTCCTTAATAAAAGGTAGATACTAGTTCATTATTATTGCCTTCCAAGGAAAACCATAAATGAAAAATAAAAGACAAATCATTTTGATATTAATACTGTTATTATTTCTATTTCTTAAAATAAAGACTGTTTATAAAATAACGAATTCAGAAAAAAATGAGTTCATAGTCTCTGTGGCTTAAATTAAAAAAAAAATCTGAGCTGTTTTCTTGGCTTTTTCAATGGGAGGAAAGAGCACAACCTTAGTTTTTAAATATGTACTTGGTACCTGCTGGCTGTCATGGAAATGAATTCTTGGAAGTTACATAAATTCTCTAATAAATTTGGACAAAATGAATCTGATGTATTGGGTCACGTCCTATTATTATCATTATTCCAGTTCAAAGATAAAAGAAAATGAATGCAGAATTATCTAGTGACTGTGTAATCAACATGTACACTAACTTTACATGCACAAGAACCACCTGAAACTCTCCCAAAAGTGGCAAGACATATGGCAGATATTTTGGCATCTTTAATGAGTGCATTTGCCATGTGTAAGAAGCTGTATATGTTCAACACATTCTTTCATTCCTACATTCTAATATTTTTTCTGAATTGATATGTAAACTAAGGTAATAATACTCTATAAGGCAGGTAATACCTAGCAATATTTCATTTACTATCTTCTGTGTAAAATTCAAGAATGTTAAGCCCATTCATTCAAAAAGAAGAGTTTACCAATAACTCCTTTGTCCAAAATTCATGTGTTATTTGCAAGACTGAAACTTTACTTATGCTTTTGATAGAACAGGAATCCCCTAATGGAATATCAACTTTATGGTTGTCTCAATACTGGACATGTGAAATGGAAATATTATGAACTGCCTTCTAATGTACTCCATTCAAATACTTTGAAGGTTGTCTGTAAAACAGTGAATAATAACATGAAAACATATTGAGAAAAATCATGCACATATCAAGAAATTTTATCACAAATTGAACTATATACCTATGCTTCACTCAGGTGTGCTACAGACCCATTCACATATACTCAGTCATGACTAAGATAGTTAGCTATGTGTGTTCAAATAATTTTGGAGTTAAATTTTTCAAAAAAAAAAAAGTACTCTATCATCTTAATATTTAGTATTGGTAATTTAATGGCATTGAGTATGTTAGAAATGATAAAAACCAATTCACCAAACCAAAAAGATAAACAAAGAAATGGAAGTCAACGTCAATTTGGGTTATAAAAATTACCTTGTACAGATTCTTGTCTTTATGAAATGTCTACAAACAAACAATACAGCAGTAAGTGTGGAGGAGCAGAGGAGAGGAACTCACATTGCTCTAATATCTACTGCTGATGAAATCAGAAATTTTGGGATGAGAATTTTAAGTTCTGAAAGATATGAAAAATCCTTAGGAAAAATTATCCCATGTTCAAAGCTTACCGCGAAAAAAGATTCCACAAAGAGGTTCATATGACTTTAATTCTAAGTGTAGAGTACAGAAGGGGATCTTCAAAAGCCAAAGGACTGTTTCACAGTGACTGGCTCAAACACTCCACTATATTTCTAGGTGTCCTCTTACATCTAGCATTCTCCTTAACCCAAACACAAGGGAAAAAAAACAACAACAACAACAAAACACTAGAAGGAATGTTTAACTCTGGGGAAGCAACGTAAGGCAAAAGAAACAAACCTATGAATCCACGTTTCTGGACTCTTTGGAAACTTGGTTAACGCCAGTTTTCCAAGATGTAAATCTTTAAGTGGACTTAAAGTGCCAGAAAGTATTAATTCTTTCCTACAAAAGATAACATAAATTTGTTTGAGTAAGGAACATAATCTGAAAACAAACCACAAATCGCACACAGAATGGCTTTTTTTTTTTTTTAATATAATAGAATTTGATAGATTAATCCACTGCACTCAGCTATATGCAGGCACTGCTATTCAACCACGCTCAGCAAAATAAATCACAGTCTCATCACTTTATCTTACTACATTCAAACCATTGTTACTCAACTCTTAACAACAAGAAAAAAATCACTAAGTCAATTTTTTACTCATTATTATTATTTTGAGTGTGGCTCTCTATCACATTTTCTGTTACAAACAAAAAAGCCACAGTTTGAGCTATATGTTACGCCTGCTAACAATAATGTTGTTTTTACTGGTTGGCTACAGAAAAATCTTAATAACACAAATTCCTTCTCTTTTCATTAACACAAGGACAGCTAAGAGAGTTACATATACATTTAAACATCCTTTCTGAAATTCAGCCTTCAGAACACTCTGCAAATTTGAAAATACTTTCACTCCTCCAGACAGCCTCCCCGCACACATTTAACTTTTTCACACACAGTTTTTAAATATGGCTCAAGACACAGTATCAAGGATTCCTAAATTTAGAAGGAAGAAATATTCTGTGTGTAGAATATTCTTCAAAATGACTATAAAGGCAGAAATCACAAAATTTACTCGTGTAAAATGAGTAATTATTTATTAAAATTAAGCAAAACTTAATGCTCATTCAACATAAGCTTTCCCAGATCTCCTACACAGATACAGTAGAGTGAAAGTCTGTATTTTATCTTTTTCTTACTTCTTTACACAGAGTTCCCTGCTTCACATATTGTTCATTTTTCTGAATTTAGAATCTCCTTGCCCCTCCCAAAGGTATTTGAAAACATCAGCCTGTGACTGGTTATTGTAGGAATGCTTTTTTCCACATCCTATACTCCAATCTACTCTAGAGACACTTTGAAGTAAAGACAGAGAGAATTCCAGTTACATTATAATTACAGGAAACACGCCTTTCTCGGAACCTTTAGTAGCTAGAACTAAAAACTTACCAGTAGCAATGTTGGTATTTTTATTTTTGTTTCTAAATAACATAGTCTTCATCATAATGACACGCATGGCACCATCAAAATTATATGCATGGCAACAGATTAAGTGAGAGGTGCACTGTACTGTTAGGGTACTTCTCCCATTTTCTTGGTGGGGAGGGAGAGAAGCTGGTAGTATGGAAAAAGAACTGCTATGAAAAAAAACTTAACCTACTATTTCCTGCAGGAAATTATCTGAAACTCTTTTCATGTGCTTCATATTTTTACTGACACCTCTGAAGTCAGTGGCATTTCACAAGAAAGGTTTGAATTTGAATTTTCAAAGCTTCTTGTTGTCTGATGCTTTTTGGCTTTTGATCAATTATAGATGCCAGAAAGCACTTCAACAAGAACAGTAATATCTATGAAAATTTACTTCACAATCATTTACATACATGTTTTGGTCACTTTTAGCTTAAGAAGATTTTTCAGCTTCTAAAAGCAGATGATAAATCATGATCAGTGACTACAAGCATCTTGTTGCACATTCTGTATAACAGGAATTTCTACCTCAGTTCAAGAAACAACACATGCATGCTATTTCTTAGCATGCTTTCCTACACCACACAATTAGCTCTTGCTCTGTTCTTCCTGCTTAGTTTCTACCCCTCTACAGCTTCCCAGCTCCTTCTAATTAAAATAAACACCTAACCTCTGTGGGCATATTACAATGTTTAGAATAGCTCCAAAGAGAGGACAGATTATTGGCTCCTAGCCAGTTTCAAATTTTACATTCTCCAGTCCATCACTAACAGAACTTTCTATGATTGCCAATTCCACTTAAATGTTCACTGGCCTTCCATACTGCCACTCCAGTCATGCTCTGCCAAGCCCTGACCCCTTTCTAAGGAAAAGCTTTTCTCTTCCTACTCTCAAACCCTTTTCCTTACTATCCAGGCTCAATATTGTTGGATCAATCACTATCTGCGAAGCTCTCAGTGAAGCTCTCAGCAGAGAATTCAACGTAGGAAACATGGATAATCTAAACTTAAAATGATGCAATTATTAGATTATAGGAAGCACTCTATGGGAAGAGCTGCTGCTCTTAATCTTTTTACTTTTAGGCTTAGAATCTATAATGCTTTTTTCCCTTGCAAATAAAACGGAATTTATGTGTCAAGAACATAAGATAAATCTGGCACAACAAACATCCTCTGTGCAAGATGAAAACAATCATCCCACGACTGATCCATCATGTTCTGCAAGCAGAGAGCAAGTCCCACGTAATTAGTTCCCACTTTAGTTCCCATCACAGTACAAATTTATCTCCAACAGATACTGTGCTGAACACAGCCTGCCCTCTATGCTGTGACTGCACATACCAACCTTATTTGGTTAGCCTGACCTGCATTGTACTCAAGGGAGGCTGAAGTGTGGTTCTTTAGTTTGAGCTGTGCCATTATGTACCTGCCCACTCTCTGAAAGAGCCACCACCCAGAAGCAGCCTGAACCAGCACAGGTCCAGGTTCAGAACATCAGTCCTCCAGCTAAAGCAAACACAGCGATAAATCCCTCAGATAATGGCTGCAACAACATCACCTTCACTTTGAATGTTACAAAGACACACTACCCACCAAGCCACCTTGTCAAGAACTAGAGGCATGGCCATCCTCTGTAGTCCTTTGCATACTGGCAAATCATAAAATTCATCTATATTCTTCAACATTTTTATTCGATTTGCAATTTAAATTACATATATAAACTGCACACGTGAGAACAAGCAACGAGCAAGTTCTTTTAGCTGTTAGGCAGAAAAAAAAAGTAAAATCATGGATGCATTTATGTTTATACAAACAAAAAACAACTGAAATCAGTTTTAGGTGCCATAAGATTACATTACTGTAGGAGCTCTAGTGTTTATGCATGTTAATTCCTTTTTATTACTTGAAAGCTACTCAGGGGTATACATTTTCAAGACAGTAAGCCCTTTGCTACCACTTTCACCTGCCTCTGTTAGATTCAAGATACTGGAAGGTACAAAACCTTGCAGAAGTTTTCAGCATTACACCAGCAATGAAAGAAAAAATTTGAATTTGCCATCAAGGCTGACAGCTATCCACAGCCATCATCTTTTTGTTCATTTTCCCTACAGAAAAAATGAACTTTAACTTCGAAACGCCTTTTATATATTTTTAAATTAGTCCTCCTAGATATTAAGAAGTTTCTGTCAGACTTCCAACCTCCTACTATTTCCGTAAGACTGTCTCAAATCTTACCTTGGAAGCAGAACATCCTCTCACCTGGGAGATCTATACAAAAATTATCTGCTTCAGAACCCTGTGAATACAGCTTCCTCCTCTTCTTTTTGCAGTGTATCTAGTGAGGCCTGTTCAGCTTTGATAACAACACTAAATTGATCATTTATCTCAAAAGGACTCAGATATAATATTCAATGAGGGATAAAACAAAAACAATGAAAACAGAGAGCAGACATTAGCTGGATACCATGATTCAGCAAAAACATATGCCCACCTGCTTCAACAGACAGAGGCAAGGAAAGTAACACTTTCAACTGAAACAAAATAAGGACCTAACATGTATTCACATGCTTTAGCTGTACTGAAAAAAAAAAAAAAAAGTTTAGAATTATTTGTAGCACATGCAGGATAGAAGAGATATTCAACATTCCTTCAGTGCTGTGTAGCTGAGAAGCTGCTGCTACCACTATCATTAGCTACCACTAAATGCAGAGTTTATGCTGACTTGCTCATTAAGGCCCAGATCATTCTGATGTCATTTACTGAGCACAACTCACCTCACATTCCAGGCTGTGGTGAAGTCTGGATTCAGCAGCAACAGCGTACACGTGGTATCTATCAGCTCTAAAACGAGTGAACAAAATACACAAAGATTAGCAATGGTTCACATATTCTAGTGGTCTCTTTGCAATCCTTTAGTTCCATCCTTCATTAAAGTCTCTCCTTGCCTGGTTGCCATATTTATGTCCATCTCTACAGAACACGGAATATCTCATTTTGGAAGAGTCTTGCTAACAACTTTTGTCTAAGAAGTTTGCAGCTGGAAATTTCAGACCACCATCTGTATGCCTAATTATCTATCCAGATATACCTATACATCTATCTATCCACATAGATATATGTATAGATAGATACACCCATATAGAGATATAAATATCTACTGGGTTAGATAGATTCACGTGTATTGTATACCCTCAGAGATGAACAGTGACTGCACTGAATCCTTGAGTATACAATAATGTAAACTGCAGACATACTGAATGTATTAAAGAGAATTCTTCAAAGAAAATCCAACAATTTTGAAATGAGACAGTAACATTAAAAGTATACTCTTATTATTTCTGTACAACCCTGAGCTGCAGATACGTGCTACTTTTATACTATATAATGTACAGTTACAAAACAAATAAACAAAATTAGATACTGTAGCAAGTTATACCTAGGAAAACCTAGGGAAAAAAAAAAAGAATTAGGATCATAACATAATTTAACCATCCACATGCACATACATATAACAGAAAACACTTTTCAGTTCATTCTGAACTGACAGCCTTGCTTCAGACTATGGTATTATGGATATTCCATACCATATGAAGTCGTTCTCAGCAATATAAGTTAGAGAAAAGAAGGATGCAAGAAGGCACATTCAGAGCGATGGTGTTTGCCTTCCCCAGAAGCACTCGCTTTCCTGGGAGGGGCTGAACGTCTTCCTGCTGATGGGAAGTATCACATTAATTCCATTTTTAGCTTTGCTTGTGTGCATGGCTTTTGCTTTACCTAGTAAACTCTTTATTTCAACCCATGAGTTCTAACACACCTTTCCTGTTCCCTCCTCCACGGAAAGTGAGCAAGCAGCTGTTTGAGTTCCACCAGGATAACAGCGGATCCTAGAGGCATCTCCACCTAACCCTGAGAGGCTAGAGACTGCCACATGTTGATTTTCCTTAAGCTCCGCTCTCAGGACATGCAGCTTCAGATCAGTTACCCTGTCAGCGTCACCACAAATATCCAGGCTTTTATTGTCAACAAAGTTTGGCTACATTCTCTCCTCAACACTATGTATTTAAGAAACTAAATAAACTGTACTCCAGGTGATTTCCAGCAGATCACTTACATGTCAGAGAAATAAAAAAGTAAAAGGAAGGAGATGGTCTTGTGGAACTAAATTATCTCTAACTGGGTCTCTGGCTGCAAAATTACATTTAAAAAACCTACCAGTGACATACAACAATAAAGGAGCATATTACTTCAGAAAGTACAGGAGAACAACTTCACCTACCTTTTTAACCAAGAAATCTCTCTGAGAGTACAGTACCTATTGCATATTACTGCATGCTTGTTTGCTCATTCATGCCTGACAAAGTAGTTTTGTGTATCCTGTGTTTCCATGGGTTCTTGCCCATGAGGACTATGTTATGTCATTATATGAGGGCAATATACTTGTAAGTGTGAACTCATGTAATTATACTCACATTTCCTATATGGTGAAAGGTAGTGAAAGACTATGAATTACAGTGAAGGAAAGTGAAAGGTAAACTTCAAAACGTAGGATAAGAAATAGAGCAACAACAAAATGCTGTGACAAAGAAGAGGTTCTGAAGAGGTTCTGAATTAAGACACAGTGTTTGATTTTAATAATTGTTTCAGTAATCATTAGCTACTGTGACTGCACAATCTAGGGCAGACAGGATATATCCAGCAAAAGCTTATCACAGCCCAGTTCATTCTTTCAAATTCTTTCGAATACTTTTCAGAAAGAGTATTCAGAGACAATATGACTCCATGTAGAATACAGTTTGTCCTACAAACTGATGTCTGCCCAGTAAGCTACTGTGGTGATGTCAAAGGCTTGGAACAGCACAGAATCATGCCCAATCTAAGCAGTAGCTCATCTATCATACTGTTTTATATAAATGCTTGGAGATTAATGAATGAATAAATAAAAAATAAAATCACTGTATCCTGAGTATTATCAAAGGAAAAAAGCAGATGAGGAAAACCTCAAAGAAATATCTAGTTCCCTTAGTTTGATTTTCTTCATAGTTTTATGCAGCAAAGAGCAGATGTAGATTTCACAAAGCTTGAATTTCCGAGCCAGAGATGCCAAGTGACAGAATTTTAGAAACCTCTGAGCCTTCTTCCATAGAAAGCTGTATGACAGATCTAGCACATAATGTCAGCAGTTGCCAGATTGTTCTACCTCAATAACAAAACTCGACTTCATTTAAATTTCAAAAAGCACTTTCAGCTGGATTTTATGAAGAATACAGCATCCTAAATGCTGTATCCAAGGTATCCTTTTGGACATGGGAAGTCTCTCCAGACGGAGAAGGGCAAGTATGACCAGATTTCTAGCTCCTTTTTATTTTTTTCACCCCAAACATGACTGTATCCAAATTTTTGTTTTTGTACATACATTATACTAACATGCTTTTCAAACAAAGGCTGTTTTAAAGGTGGATCAATGGGCTTAAGGGAAGTAATGATTTTGAGTACATGCAGAACAATATTTTGAACAAAAAGAGAAGATATTTGTAGCAATTTCAGACAACCATCTTGTGATATCACAGATAGTCTGCATTCAAAAGTTAAAACATTTTGAAGAAAGGAGAAAAACTTCTAAACTAGAAGACCAGCAACAGACATGATTTTGGATTCCAAGAAATCTTATTCAAACTTGCAAAAGAAACCATAATAAAATTAAGCACCTGTCCCAATACATTATCAATAATTAACTATTAACTGTAGTTAACTATTAATTAACTATAAAGAACCAGATATTTTTTCCAGATCTTGCTAGAATATCAGATGAAATCATAACACTTTAATCAGGACCCAATTTTTCTTTTCTGTTTGATCTAAAATAGCTTCTGGTAATTCCAACAACACAAAGAAAGTAACAGGAGACTGTATTTGTGATCACTGTTTATTAACAGATGTCATCAGAATATGCAATTGAGTTTTGCAGCAGCCATAATTCTGTACTTGCACTACATCCAGAAGAAAACTACCTTGCCAAACACTCGGTATGTTTTATCTACAAAAAAGGATTCAGAGGAAAATCCTTAAGGATTTTGTATTTCTAATGTAAAGAGCTTAAACTACATAAAAAGCAATTCTGTAGGTCAATCTGGAAAATACCTCTCTCCTCATGCCCTCCAAAACTTTCGCTCAGTTTCTGCTACAATTTAATGGTAAAGCATATTAAATACTGCAAGCTACACAGAGCTTCCAAACGTTATTAACATGGTGGGGTTTTGATCATGTTTTACAGTAGTTACATAAAAACTTGGTAGACATGGAAATACTCAGGTTATCTCTTCTCAAGCATTTTACATTGGCTTTCAATAATTAAAGAAACAAAGGAGAGGACAGTTTCTCTCTAAAGGATTGAATCAAGTGAGATTCAATCAACAAATAGGCAGTTAGCTAAGTTTCACACTACTCTGGTTATTTCCTGACACCATTTTATGACCTATGTTTTCAGAAGGGAGGATCTGAAATGCTTCATCTGGGTCGGAAGCAGAAAAATTTTCTGAACAGCCACAACACTCTTGTCATACGGTGTCACCACAAAAAAAAAACTAAACCTGCCTAAAAGGGTCAGTGTGTCATCAAATAAGATTCCAAATGAGAAGACTACAGAAAGAAAAGTTTCTAAGCTGACTGTCATTGAAACCTGAAGCCATGACGAAGTTGCTTAAACTACAATAATCCTTTCTCATTCTCAATTTAAACAAAGTCACTTTGTAAACAAGTATCTCCAGACCACACTGGTTCATAATTCTTAAAAAAGTACTCAAAATAGACAAAACTATACAAAAGAATTTTTCATGCAAGTAAAACAAACTAAAAAAAAAAAAAAAAAAAAAAAAGAGAGAGAGAACAACAACAACAAAAGAAGAAAAAAGATAATAGAGTTTTACAGTTAAAAAGTTCAACAAGTTGTTTCAACAAACAATTTCTGGTACCCCTATGTCCAAATAAAACAATGCACTTCTTTCTTACTTCAGATCCACATTACCACAGCTGCCTTTCTGTCACAGTACACCTTTCCTTCTGCAAACAAGTAAGACTACTTTCCTAAATCATTCATGGGAATAAGTCATCTCCCTTCAATACTTCCAGATTGGGCAAGAGAAAGGATTTTTTTGCATTTTCAACCAAGAAACAATAGAACTATCTCTTGTGATGCACAACACAAAGCCAGCTTTCCTCAGGTTTCACTCTTCTTTTAGAACAGGTTGAACTGCATTTAAAAAGGGCCAATGTCATGTCAAAAAAAAGGTAAAGAACATAGCTAAGAATCAGGTACTATTTTCTCACAGGGTAACTTACCATCTTTGTTCAGCCATTGTTTTCTCTGTCTGTAGAGTAGAAGTTTGTTGTGGACATATGGCAAAAGAAACTTGACACACCAGCTCTCCACACCAAGCTTGTTTTCCACCAGGACTATTGGGCTCCGGTTGTATCTTGCTTCAGGACACGGTATTAATCCAATTTCATCTCTTAAAAAAAAACAAAAACAAACAAACAAAAAAAAACAAAAAACAAACCAGAAAGAAATGCAATTAAATTTATTTCCAGTATTTGACAATTATTTTTTTCTAAACTTCAGCTGTCAACCCATCACCTTTCTCCCTGTTTTTACTGAAGTCTGTGCTCATTATTATCAATTCATCTTCTTATTTCCTCCCAGACTTGCAGGTAAAATTAAACACATTTTTAAGAAAGTAATCTGCATAATTACACAGTAAATTAACTCAGCAAATAACTGATGCAAACACGTTCTTGGTACGATTAAAGACTTAAGTTGAGAAAAAATAAAAAAAAAAGCAAAAAACCAACCTCTTAACATTTCACATTGCTTTGCAATTTATTCAGGTAGTTGCGGTTTTAGGAAGAGTCTCTACAAAAATTAATATTATGTCTGCAATACTGTAGCAGGAGAAAAATAGAAATACTTGAAGGCATGCTGAAGAGTCTCAAAGTAATAGTCATTATTAGATAAACAAGCATGAATTGAAAGTCCTTTAAACACCATGTTTTTTGTTTGTTTGTTTTGTGTGTGATTCTGGACTTTCTCTACTTACTCAGAAATGTTATATTCTCAAAAATTCTGAATGGGGAAGGTTCTTTTCATGTATTTACCGTATCATACCTTCAATCAAACATCTAGAAATAAACAAAGGATGGCCACAAAAATTCACTCTCAAACAAAGCAGAAGTGTCTCAAGCTTTTTAGTTCCATGGGGCCATATTTTTTTTTTCCTAAGTTTTTCATGTATATGGACAGTGAAAGAGCGGTTTTGAAATCTTAAAAATAAACAAAGACTGTCAATTATTCACGCTCACTTGGACAAAAAGAAATACAATTCTACACTTTCTACTATGCATGATTTCAACATCAAATTCTGTTTAATGGGAAAAAAAGAAAAAAAAAGGGAAAGATAACGTACCTTATTTTTCTTTAATATAAGGTCTGTAGATTACATCCCAAGCGTTGACCTCATAATCTCAACCCAATTACCACACACTAATTTTGCTACTGGATAATCTGAGTGTACTGATTTAGTTCAGTGTCCTCAGTAGATTATTACTAAAGCAATTGAAAATGACACCATGTGTTTGTTTAAGAACACGTATATCTGCTTATTCAGAAAACTGATTTAATATGTCAGACAGCAAAAGAGCACAAATAACCTGACGTAAGATACTTGCAAACTACTTGGCTCTGTCTCTAAACACACGCCCAGGTCCCTTACCCATCTCTTCTCGTCCAAGAAGAGGAAAACAAAAACAAAAACAAGAACAAAAAAAAAAGAGGGAAACTCAGTTTTACTACCTACCAAACTGCAAGCAGTAGATGATTCCACCCATGTTGCTCCACTTAAAAAAAATAAAGCTTTTCACAAAGATATTCAGGTTAGACTTATGACATTCCAGACTAGACTTATAATGACATTCCAGACTGATGCTCTGATTCTTTCAACATAGTGCCTTTTAGACTGAAGTTTTGTGCTTGTTGCTGACTTCGTTTCCTTTACAAAGAGGAGAACTCACTGTGGCTTTCCAATATTTGAAGGGACAGTATAAACACAGGGGGGTATGACTGTTTACATGGGTTGATAGTGATAGAACAAGGAGGGGATGGTTTTAAACTAAGACAGGAGAGTTTTAGATTAGATATTGGAAGGAAGTTTTTCACACAGAGGGTGGTGACACACTGGAACAGGTTGCCCAAGGAGGTTGTGTATGCCCTATCCCTGGAGGAATTTGAGGCCAGGCTCTGGACAGCCTGGTCTAGTGGCTAGCAGCCCTGCATATAGCAGGGATTGAAACTAGATGATCATTGTGATCCTTTTCAATCCAGACCATTCTATGATTCTGTGATTCTGTGAAATGCTAAATTTAGTCCGCGTACAAACTTTGCTCTTGCATGCTGTAACACACAGAACCTCAGAGGCAATGAGCACACAGCTTTGCTAATTAATTCTGTGAATTACCACAAAAATTCATGAGTCAATGCTTACAGACACTCCAGCAAAGGCAAATAGCAAGGGAAAGCAAATAAAAACAATCCTACACCCACACCTTCAGATCTCAGCAAACAGAAGCTTGACTCAGAAGAGCCAATTTCACAACACAGCCTTAAACACACCATGACAATTGGTAGGTAGGGTTTGCAAAGAGCTGACAATGCTGATGCATGCAGCCTGTCCCTGAGGGGTAAGAGGATCTTAGCTGAAGAATTAGCGGGACTCATTGACAGGTCTTCAAACTAGGAATGAAGGGGGAAGGGGACAAAATAAGGCCTACTGGGGTTGAACGGGTCATTCGAGGGCTTGTACCGAACTCCATGGGCAATGACGGCAGAGTGCATAGGGAAGGAGTAGGGCAGGGGGATGCTGGGGATGCTGCTGTTCTAGGGGATCCTAGATCCCATATAAAGGTGGCGAGACGGATAGCCCGGCTGAAGTGCCTTTATACCAATGCACGCAGCCTGAGTAACAAGCAGGAGGAACTGGAAACTGTGATGCACTCAGAAAGTTATGACCTTGTTGCTGTCATAGAAACATGGTGGGATGACTCCCACAATTGGGATACTGCCATCGACGGCTATAGACTCTTTAGGAGAGATAGGCGAGGTAGGAGGGGTGGGGGAGTTGCTCTCTATGTCAGGGATTGGATAAACTGTGAGGAGCTCCCTACGAGAAACAGTCAGGAACAGGTTGAGAGCCTGTGGGTTAGGATTAGAGATGGGACTAATATAGGTCAGCTGGTGTTAGGGGTATACTACAGACCACCTGATCAAGGCGAGGCTGTTGACGAGGCTTTCTTGCTCCAGATGCGTGAGATGTCTGGCTCACGGGCTCTTGTCCTGGTGGGGGACTTCAACCATCCGGACATCTGCTGGGAAAACCACACGGCGAGCTGCAAGAGCTCCAGAAGGCTCTTGGAATCCATTGATGATAGCTTTCTGGTTCAGGTATTGGACAGACCGACCAGAGGTGAAGCGTTGCTAGACCTGCTGCTCACCAACGCCGAGGAGATCATCAAAGGCGTCAAGGTCGGAGGCTGCCTGGGCTCCAGCGACCACGCCCTGGTTGAGTTTGTGATCTCAAGCGATGTGGGCCTGGCAAAGAGCAGGATCAGGACACTGAACTTTAGAAAAGCAGACTTCAAACTACTCAATGGATTGCTGGCCAAGATCCCCTGGCGCGCTGCCCTCAAAGACAAGGATGTTGAGGAGAGCTGGCGGCTCTTCAAAGATGCCCTCCTGGAAGCACAAGAGGTCTCCATTCCTCTGAATAAGAAAGTGGGCAGGCGAGGTAGGAAACCGGCATGGCTCAGCAAGGACCTGCTGAGAGAACTGAGGGCGAAGAAAGGGGTGTACAAGCTCTGGAAACAAGGCTGTGTCACCTGGGAAGAATACAGGAATGCCGTCCGGACTTGCAGACGTGGGATCAGGGAAGCCAAGGCGCAGGCAGAACTGAACTTGGCAAGGGACGTGAAAAACAATAAGAAAACCTTCTACTGGTACATTGGCCAGAAGAGACAGGCCAAAACGGGTGTACCTACTTTGGTAAATTTAAAAGGAGAACTGGCTTCAACAGATGAAGAGAAAGCTGAGGTGCTGAATGAGTTCTTCACCTCGGTCTTCACTGGTGGCCAGGATTCTAGTCTTTTTCACGTCCCTGAACCCTGCATCCCCAAACCTCTGTGTGGGGACCGAGGAGGTAAATCCCTCCCCACTGTAAGGGCAGAGCAAGTCCGAGAGTGCCTCCTTAGACTGAATGAATACAAGTCTATGGGGCCGGATGGCGTGCATCCCAGGGTCCTGAAGGAGCTGGCTGAGGTGGTTGCCGAGCCGCTCTCCATCATATTTGAGAAGTCGTGGCCGTCAGGTGAGGTCCCGGATGACTGGAGGAAGGGTCACGTCACTCCCATATACAAGAAGGGGAGCAGGAAGGACCCGGGGAACTACAGGCCAGTGAGTCTCACCTCCATGCCTGGGAAGATCATGGAACGGATCCTCCTGGACAACATGCTTGATCACATAAAGAATGAGCATGTGATCCGAGACAGCCAGCATGGCTTCACCAAAGGAAGGTCATGCCTAACTAATCTTGTGGCCTTCTATGATGGAGTGACGGCATTGGTGGACGAAGGGAAGGCAACCGATGTCATTTACCTGGACCTGAGCAAGGCCTTTGACATGGTCCCCCACCACATCCTCATCTCCAAATTGGAGGGAAGTGGATTTGATGGGTGGACGACCCGATGGATAAGCAATTGGTTGAAAGGCCGCAGACAGAGGGTGGTCATCAATGGCTCTATGTCCAGGTGGAGGCCGGTAACAAGTGGTGTCCCCCAAGGGTCTGTCTTGGGACCGGTGCTCTTTAACATCTTTATTAATGACATCGATGAGGGAATTGAGTGCACCCTCAGCAAGTTTGCTGACGACACCAAGCTGAGTGGTGCGGTTGATACAGTGGAAGGAAGGGATGCCATTCAGAGGGACCTCGACAGGCTGGAGGGCTGGGCTCGGATGAACCTAATGAGGTTCAACACGGCAAAGTGCAAGGTTTTGCATTTGGGCCGGAAGAACCCCAGGCACCCGTACAGGCTGGGAGGAGTGGTCCTTGAGAGCAGCTCGGCAGAGAAGGACCTGGGGGTCCTGATGGACGAGAGACTGAACATGAGCCAGCAGTGCGCTCTGGCAGCTCGAAAGGCAAATGGGATCCTGGGCTCCATCAGGAGAGGGGTGGTCAGCAGGGACAGGGAGGTGATCGTCCCTCTCTACTCGGCTCTTGTGAGGCCCCATCTGGAGTACTGTGTCCAGGTGTGGAGCCCTCAGTACAAGAAAGACATTGAGATTTTGGAAAGGGTCCAGAGGAGGGCGACTAAGATGATCAGGGGGCTGGAGCACCTCCCCTATGAGGACAGGCTGAGGGAGTTGGGCTTGTTCAGCCTGGAGAAGAGAAGGCTGCGGGGTGACCTCATT